GAGCTTCTGATGAGGTCACGCAGGAGGCGCTCCCCATAGTGAGACACGAAACGAATGCTATGAAAGAGAACTCATCATTTTACTTCTGAAAATGTACCAGAGAGCATGGAAAAGCATCCCCTGGCATCTTTAATGTTGGCAAACGTTCAAGCAACTCTGTTGTTGCTTAAAGAGGGAAGACCATCACCACCACAATAAGATTAACTCACTTACCACCTTCATCCAAATTGAAGTCATCTTGATAGCGAAACTTTTCAGGACCACAAGCAAAGAATATGTCATCCTCCCCAAAAAAGTCCTGAAGGCAAGTGACCTGACAAAAGACAATACATTTGCAAATTACACAAAGTCAAGATTGTTAATCCAACTGAAAACTACAGAGTCCAAAGTTGTTTATACATAAAAGCACTAAATGTATAACAATAAAGTATCTGGAAAAATGCAAGAGTAGAACTGAATTCAGGGCATGGACATGTACCAATGCCGTCTTTGAAAAATGCACAAGATAAAAAAGAAAAAAAAAGGGAATTAACACAACCTATTTAACTGGCTGAATTGGCCTTAAGGAAAAAGTTCTCTAAGCCAGCTGGATTTTGTTCTCTGCAGTTTGTGACATTGTTGTCTCCTCTTTTTTAAATAGTCCACATCCCCAGTGGATGAATGAGCTAATTGCCCTCTATTGTCACCAACTGTTCAATATAAAAGTCGTAAGACATTCAACAACAGCTAAATTATGTCAGAACAAGGCGGCCTTCAATTGACTAAATACATTAGAGAACACTTTATTCAAGATTAGATTGTCCATTTCCTTTATGGTTAAGCACAAAAACATATTAAATATACCCGTCAGTCTATTGTGTTACCAACCAGTCATAACAATAAATGATAATCTTCAATTCAACTTGAACCACTTCTGGGGGACTGTTTGATTCCAAAGGGACAACCAATTATGTCAGTATTAATTGTCAGTATTATTAAATCAAGGAACTTATCAAAAACAAAAGTAAAAAACATTTTGAGTAAAGGGAGAAGATTGTTTCCAATTCCATAGTTTTAAAAAAAAAAAAAAAAACAACAACTTCTGACTGTATAGTGCAGTATGTTCTGTCCAGATTAAAGGTAAATGGTACTTTTTCTCCAAAGTAATGAATTGAGAGATCTGTATTTTACAGTAGTTTAAAATTAAAAATCTTAAAAAGATTCTGTAACCTCGCAGTAATGTGAGAGATTAAATACCATAAACTCAGAACCTAGACTTCTACTTTACACAGATTGTAATGAAGAAACACGAACAAAAGTGGATTCCCGATTTCTACAGCGAGTTCATGTATGGATTATTTTTCTTTTTCGCTCTGGTGGGCTTCATTTGAAGGTTTTCCTACAGGAAATGAGGACAGGTAAATAAGGATGACATACTGCTGAGCTGGGACAAGCCTGACTGGCTGCATCAAGAAGCTTTAGCCTTTGTGTACAGGGGAATCCAGGGCATTGAATACTTGGTTTTAATATAGTAAAATGAGAAAACTCAAACCTATGATGAAATGGAATGATGGTACATGTTTTGAATTGAAAGTGCCTTTTGGCTCAGTGACACAGCAGCTCCATTAGCTCCATCTGAGAGACACTCATCCTGGAGCATCCTGTGCAAATATTGATTAGTAAAGGTTTGATCCATGAGTTCCACAAGTACATTTGCTAGTGCTGACATTCAGTTCATAAGCCACATTAAAAGATAGTAAGTACGCACACTTTAGAAGCTCATTGATCTATAATAAAGAAATAAAATAAAAAAGACTATATAGTGTGTAAGCAGCCCATACATTAGTAAGATAAACATGCCTATGGACAGGCAAAGTCTGTTATGAGCTGCATTAGTGCACATGCTGGCCTAACCATAAAACAGCAGTTTAAAGTCTTAAATCTTAACAGATACAATGTGCATGACTTGACTAAAATGCCATGTCTATTGGTTTCACTGCCTTGGCTGTACGTTAGTGCAGTTTCAGTCAGGGCACTGACATCAATCAATTTTTTTAATTCAATTTCAGGATCAAACTGGGTTGTGTCCATTTGGCAAGCTAAAATCTAATCCTCAAATGACAATATTTCCACAATGTGACAGTGATTTAAGGTGTATGATGTAAGAGTATGAACTGATCACATCTAGACACCAAGATGATCCCCAAATGGAGTTGAGTTGTAAAGAAGTATAAAATAGACATATTTGCAAAAAGGAAGGACTAGCATCTTCTCTACTAAAGATTTAAAAACCTATGAACAGCCTATTTGCTGCCAGAGGGTACTTATCTGGCCATCTGGAGGTACAGCATGAGAAGAATTTAGAAAAAGAGACAGAATGGCACGGAGACTCATTGCCCAGCAAATTAAATATCCTATTTAAAATAGAAGGGAAAGAACATTTTAAAAACTAAATTGATCACTTTTAAAGTGGAAAATACTGTTATGGATTGATATTCCTTCAGACATAAAGAATAACAGGCACATTTGTTTTCAATCTTAACCTTTATCTTAATAAGAAGTGGATTGGATCACTGGAGTTGACTTTAGCCATGCACCACACCATGCAGCTCTGTGTACAACACAGCTAACAAACCAAGCTTTGCATCAGTGTTCCCTCAGTACTCCTACACTTCTGACATCACTACTGCACTGCTCTGCAGCAGAGTCTGTTTCTTAGCAACCACCTCAGGAAATCATTCACCATAGAAACTGTCACAGCCAAATAATGCCAACAGCGAGTGAACAGGAAGGAGTTTCTGAAGGGGTTTTCACACAAAAATCTGACTTTTTAAGATGGAACATACAGTCAGCTTTTTGTCGTGTTGCCACATAGTTCATCCAAATTATTTGATAAGAAATAAGCTGCAATAATGACCCCTGTAATTTCTAGATAAAGGAAGTGTATGGGTAGAAAGTGACTGGCTATTTGATGACTGCTATTCATGTTATTTCTGCCCATCAAGCTCAGTTCAATGCATTTAAGCTGTACAGCACATGCAGCTTGTTAATTAGGTGCCAAATTACTGATCAGGTTACCGGTCTGGTCCCAACTCAATACATGATCCTATCTAATACTGTGCTGCTGTTGGTAGGAACATGAGAGGGAGTCCTAGAAACCCATTTCTCATAATACATTTAGCAAATATTCCCAGTTGACTTTTAAGCTATTGGGCGGACTCTCTCCTTGGGTAAAGAATCAATTCTCAGAGGAGCAGAACACAATGTGAAAAAGTAAAGCACAGATGATGCATTATCCTTGCCTGAATGTCTTGAACCTAACTTTCTTGTTAGAGACACAACTAACGGAAAGAAAATTTAGATAGAGCAGGTATCTGTATCATTTGGACAAAATAACCTAAATGTCCTATTTTTTAGTCCTTTTGGGCAGTTAACATTAAAATACGTTAGTTAAGGCACAAAAGCTACATTTTACACTTCTGAGGTATGAATGCTGTTGTGGTAAAAGCAAAAAACCAAAAGATACACACAAGCTTACTTTATATTGTGGTAAATAACACCAGTGCATTCCTCCAACTGTTCGAGTCTCTGAGCTTCACAAAAGTGAATTACATATTTAAATCAATTCATGGAAATAACTTTTGGTCCATAGTTCTTATTGTTAGCACAGCCAGTCACACATTCACTTCACATTAAAATGATGTGAGTGAATCAAATAAAGCAGTTCAGAGCTCAACTTCTGCTTGTTTAAAACCTTTCTCTTTAATGGCACCAAAGTGTACCATATGCATTGCTAAGATATTTATTAGTACATGGAGAACTCAAATTATATTGTTTTAACTCAGATATGAAATTTGTTTTCCCACAATAATCTGCAACAGCAGCCTTTTGGTTTTGCTGCGGCTTCATTGGCCACTTCACTGAGCACTGTTTAAGATAATCTGGAACCATTGTTTTGACCCAGTATAAAAGTAGTGTTAAAGGAGCTACAGTTTTACAAAAACATCACAACTGACACAACAACATGATGCCTACCATTTTGCCATCAACGGTGTATATTCTTTTGACGACTCCAGAGTCAAGTTTAATGGCGTCTGTGATGTCGGTCATCACTTGCTCAAAAGAGTGTGCAGTCTTCTTGTTGAGCAAGATCCGTACAGCTTTGCGGGGTTTCACTCCACTTCGTACTATTGTTACCAGTTTGGGTTTGATGAAGTCTTTGCTCTCCCTGGTTTCTGGGGAGCCAGCCTTGGCACTACCAAGAGAAGAAGGGTCGCGGGCAGACACAGTAGTCCTGGCTCCATGTGACCAGTTGGGATTTACATTCTTTGTGTAGTCCAGCATCTTGAAAGGCTCTATGGACGCACAAACGTAGCTCTCCCCTTAAAAAACAGTCAAAAGAAAAAAACATTTTATATCAGCCCACAGAGGTCAAAGACTGGGTTGAAATGGGCTGAAATGTGCGTTTCTGATCAGCGATTTTGTTGGGATCTGATTGTATACCATTCAATATCAACTAAAGCTGAACTTCAGGCATTCAGAAACCCAGCTCACCTTCCACCAGCTGGTCCATGCTGGTGATCCTTGACACTCCATCAATGGTATATATGGTTCGCACCCCTTGGGGCAAGTTGACATTATCTGACAGACATCTAGTGAGGTCAGCGAGGAGGGCTTCCAGAGATCTAAACCTCTCCTGAGAAATGGCATAAACTATTCCTTTGAAGTAGCGATCCCCGTTGCGGTAGAAGCGGATCTTCTTGGCCTTCTTCTCTGAGCTCAGAGCTTGCAGTGTTCTGGTTCTGTACAGACTGCAGTGAGCGCTGTGAGTGGGGCTGGGGAGCCCGTTCCCTCTGGAGCCCCGGCGGGTGTACCTCTGAGCCTTGTCCCGCTCATCAAAGTGCTCCAGCTCCATCTCTGTCTTAAGCTATTTAAAAATAATAATACAATTCAAAATAGGTGTTGATAATATTTTAATAAGCTTTTAAAATGTAATCTAATCTACACAACAATCACATTAGAGCCAGTGTATTGTCACCTGCCACAGCACAGAGACATGCTCTGATGCTGCTGCTGCTCAAACACAAAATGAGGAGGCATGTCACACCCATTTTACACTCCCTGGTCTGTCTCAATTCAACGTTGGGATATTCACAAAAATCCAGAGTGGATATAACAAACTTAACTGGATTTGACGCTTTAAAATGTTGTAGGCTTCAAAATAGCTGCAAGCTACAACCAAACACATCAAAGGCAAAGAAAACCAGACAGAGCATTATTTTTCAGTAACAGAGGAATCTCCTACCTTCGAGGTAAGGGCAGATGCAATCAGACGGCTGGGCCTGTGTGTACGCGCAACGTGGCTGGGACTATCTTTTATTTATTTGATGCTTGGGATGGAGCACGCGTCCCTTTGTTGCCCCGGATCCGCGGTCCCGATGCCGTGCGTCTGCTCCGCCGCGTGCCCGCATGCAGACTGGAGGCAGGGCGGCCGGTGTCCCCCGCCCTCCCCGCCTCTTCCCCCCCCCCCTCCTCTTCCTCCATTGCGGTGATTTACCGGACCGCTCTGGTGTCAGCCTGCCTCGCGCACGCTGCTGAGCGCGCGCGCACAGCCACAGACCACACAGACAGACAGGCCTGCGTGTGCGCGTGACGCGCGCTCTCGTTAAGGTCGAATTAGGTATTTCTGAGCTGTTAATGAAAAGCATCTACTCAACGCTGTCAAAGCCAGCAGCTCCACACAGTTACTCGTGACTAATGCTGACTAACAAACTCACACGATAACGTCAAATTAAAGGGATGTGGGCCACTTAAAAAGCTGGTAATTTAATAGCAGTATGAGCAGTTAATGCGAGTGTTTACAGCTACCGCTACATTTTTAGCTTAGCATTTTACCAACGTAAGCCTACATTTCTTTTCACAGCTACTAGTTTCCTTAATTGGGAGGCTGAAATTCCTCACCTGACTACAGTTTAGGGAGTTCATGTGGAGCAGAGGACACACCAAACAGATGTGTCTCCGTTTCCGGTCTGGCCTGAGTCCAGCTCACAGGTGTGGCTCATCAGCATAATTGTTTCCTCGTCAAATCCTGCTCCTGTGAAGCGCGCGAGGACTTGAGGAGCTTAAACTTAACGAAGCAACGTGGAGCAGACAAACACCTGATGGGTAATTGACCTCCACCCCAATTATGCTTTTTTATATATATATATTTTTATGTGTATGTTTGTTTGTTCAAATGTGAATAATCCCACTAGCAGTGGAGACCTTGAACCTAGCCCCACTCTTTCTGGTTATCAGCATCTTTGAACGGGTTGAGCCTGGTGCCAGCATTCACATTATTATTGGGCGACTGTCCAGCAGTACCTGTTAGAGGCCTGCTCTGGGTCTCTGGAAGATTAATTGCAAGTTTGCTGATCAAGCTGTATTTTTTTTTTTCCTAAAATAGCTTCCAAACTTGTTACATGGAAAAAGTTAACTGTTTTGCTCCATCAAAGTGTGTCTTCTCTTTGGTAAAGATACTTTTATACTGCGCCTTTTAAAGATATAAGAGCATATTCATTTTCAAAATTGAAAGAACAATACAATTATGTGTTCTTACTCTTCTATATTTTAAGAAACATTGCTCGACAAAAAAAAACAACAATATTTCTGCCTTTGGATACACTACTTTTTAGATTTCTCCAGACCATGTTAAGTTTTTTTTTTTTTCATTCATTTCTTAAAATATTATTCAGTATCTAAGTAGTATTTATGTAAGTATCAGGCCTACTGGCCCCAAACCAGCTAGTAGAACTGAACTATTTGTTGGTGCAGTCTAACTCGTCTATCATTTCAGACCATTCCGCTGGAAGAATTACTCAGAGAAGCTGGACACAACTATATCAACCATGTACCGTGATACGCAGTCCACTGATGATGGATCAGATGCTGGCTCAGAGTGGCAGCCAAACCACTGTGCCTGCCCGGCCAATATTGTTGGACAAATCGACTGTTCCTAGAGGACGAATGCTTCCAGTTTGCCAGGATCAATTTCTCTCTGCATCATTTCAGTTCATGGAAAATAACTGGATAAACCAACGTTCTGCTTTCATAAACCTCACTTCATCTACAAACGCACCCCCAACTATGAGCCAGACTTTGCGGCAGGTGGGCTTACACTTTTCGTCCAGCCAAATGCATTGGGACGTCGCCTTTCGTCAAATGGAACCCGTTTCTTTACCATCGGTTCATTTTTCTCAAGACGACAGTGCACCTGAAATTAATGCTGAAAAAGTTTTGACTTCTAAAGAGTTAAAGGAGACAGATTCAGCCCAAATAGGCACATCTGACAGTTGTTTGGCCAAAGATTTAAAACAAATATTTAGTGCAACATCGTGTTCTGGTGATCCGACACCTGGAAATGTGACTCCGGCATCAAAAGCCTTTACCTGTGAGAGTCCTGTTCAGTGTGATGTGGTTAGTTCCTTATGGTTGGATCTGTTTTTGGATGGCAACAGTAACATGTGCAGCCATGATACTGATCTTGAAGATGCTGTTGTTACACCTTAAACAAATCACTTAACCTTATTACTAATCATACCTAGTGCGTAATAATTGCATTTATGAATTGATTTAGGCACTTTTCTGTTGTTTGTTCCCAGAAAAAAGCTGTAACAGCGTTGGCATTCAAACTTAAGATACAAGATGTTAAATACAGTCACAAGGTATGCAATAAATATCTTTATATTGTATGTATGAAAGTACAAGAATTACTTTTGGTGGCAGTCGGAGGTTCCTGCAGAATAATTTAGTGTCCACTTAATTTTTTTTCTGGTCGCTCAGAATTCTTGCCGCAAAGTATTTGAATGTTTGGAGTTGTCTTCATTTCTGTTTTAGTCTTTTTCATGCATGCCCAAAGAGATTTTTTTATTTTGACTGGGAAAATAAATCTGAGAGCATTGTGGGAAATCAGTGGACTGCTATTTCTGTCCTGTAAGAAAAATAAAAGCTTTTGTGTTTCTCATTTGGCAAGGTTTGTTTGTGTGTTGTTCCTCTGTCAAAAAAGGTTAAATCTGTCTTTCATTCACACCAGGCATGTTTTGTTCTCCAAATACATTAAATAAAAACTGAAGGCCAGTTCTTTTTTTATCTTTATTTCTTTGGGCTATGAAATAGTATTGAACACGTTCCTGCCGCAGTGGTTGAAAAACATAGTTGTTTCCAAAAAACTATTGGTGTTAAAATTGCAAGCAGTAACTGTAAATCCTTTTAAAACACAACTTTATTTAAATAGAAATGCAACACAACAAATGCTGCATATGCTAATTTTGATCTTGACGTAAGCAGCATCCTTCAGCACTAACCGTGCCTACAGTATGTTACCGCCACAATCTGCACCTCTACTTCCTGTAAACCCAAGGTCAAAGTTGACATGTCTGACTACATTTTCTTATGAATCCCAATCCAAAACTCTGCATGACCAGAATGTTCCCTTGACACCCAGTCAATTTAAATGTTTTTTTTTTTTATATAGATAAATATGGTTTAAATGATAGCCATCTATATCATTTATTATTTTCTATTCATATCACCAAAGTATTTTCTCTGGGAATTGAAATAATTAATTTCTCATTTCAATTAAGACAACATGGGTTTACAGATTTAAGTTAATCATAAACAGTATTCTTGCTACCAATATGATGCACACATGCAGCCACTAGGTGGAAGTATTAGCTGGACACAATCAGACTGTGGATCAAGTGTCACACTTCCAGTTTGACCTTTTACAGCCTCCAACACTCAAATGCATTAAAATTGGAATAATTCATCATAGCATAGGAGTGCTCCTTAATCAAGCTCCAACATATGTACTGTAAAATCTCACTTGAATTCTTCTAAACTGCTTGAAATATTAGATATTTAAAGGCACAGTCAGCAGGGATATCCAACACAAAAGCAAAACACACAGCAGCTCATCACATTTCATCACAACTCTTTGAGTTATATAAGATAACTGGACACACAATTCATTCAACATAAATGGTGGAGAAACACTTAAAGATTATGTGCCCTCAAAAACTATTAAATCCTTTGTAAATACAAATAGAACTTATTAAGTTAATGAAAATATCTGCATCTTATACAGTGTCAGAATGTTCTGTTATAATTTGGGTTATATAATCTTTTATCACAATAAAGTCTAACTTGCAATTACATACAAATTAAAGTGCCTGAGAGCATTATCAAATTATAAGATTTACACATCAAAGTAGTCATGATGGAAATATAGAATATGTTTTTATAAATAATATTAAATATATAGGTTTTTTTTTACTAAGGTTTTAAAAGTGTTAAGGCATTGCTGCGGGAATGAGGCAGAACACTGCTAGCTATTTCTCCAATTTCTCCACTTGCTTTCCATTCTGTGGAGTTTCCTGAAGCTTGTAGTCTTCCAAAATGGCCTGCGCTGTGTGTTTTCCAGTCCTTTTCACCACAGCTTTGATCCCCAGGTTGTCAATATTGAAGGCAGTGATACCGACATTAATGGCAGAATTGACAGCGTGGTCTGTGGCCTGTCCTGCCGCTGCACCATACCTTCAGCAGAATCAGAGGGGGTCAGAGGTCAGAGCAAGCGTTGGGAAAATTCATTAGTAAGCTGTGCAAGGATTGAAAAGATGTCATGCTGAATTTCAATGTGAGGATTACAACCATGCAAGTGCATAACCTGAAATATAGACATGTCTGTGCAAAGATCTGATTTTATTCCGAGACATTCCAGTTGGAATCCAATTGATGATGGAAAAGATTGTTACTCTGTCCAAATTTCTTAAAGAAAATTAAGGAAAATAGGTCAAATAAATTTAGAAATTAATAAAAAGTCAAATACGGCCTTGACTTTCGGATGCAAACGTCAAGGATGCACCATGGATGCAAACTCTTTTAAGGCCATAATGCTAATTGGCATCCCACAAAGGCCAAATACCTTCATCAAGAATGAGAGGATTATGAAGTCAGGCAGGCCAGAAAGATTAGATCAGTAGAGGAAACATCAGGATGTGAATTAGCACAAAAGGGGGGGTGTGAAGTGATGTGAAGGATTCAAGAGAACTTTATGCAAAAGCAAAATGATTACAAAAAAGATTAGCAGTGAGAAGTGGCAAAGCTGAGTATAATTAGGAAATATTTCCCTTTTTCTCATTAGGTGTGTCAAAGAAGTTTTGTAGGCCCCTATATCTGCAAAGCAAATTGAAGAGGAATACAAGTGAGTGCTTCATTTAGTGCTGGAGGTCATTTGCGACAAACACATAAAAAAACAGTGGAGCAAGCTGGGATAGTGGTGGGAAAGACTCATTTAATAAGGACTTACTTGTGTTTTATGGTGGTCACCGTTTCTGATGCTACACTGGTAGTGATGTCCTTTGCAGCTACTTCCAAACCTGTCCACATCGTTGCAAATCCTGGACAAATACAAGATTCAGATTTTGAGTTATTCAAAGCCAAAATGCTGGATGCTAACCTGAGAACCAAACGACAAAATGTAAAGATATAAAATAATTTTAGACACATTATTACAGGTCAGCTCTACCTTGCACCCCGCTGGCTGCCACCACCATTGCTCCGTCAATGTTGGAACGGCCATCCTTGTCTTTCTTCATGGACTCTGGGATCAGCTTGCCTCCGTGTTTTTTCACATGAGGAGCCAACTCTCGGCCCACGCAGCCAGCGACAGAGCACACTCCGTCCACTGCAGGGACACGGCACAACTGCATCACAGGTCTGCTGCAAACCCTAATCACACAAAGCTAAGCAAACACACTGAGAGAGGAGGACTTAGTCACCTAGAAACTGGCTGACTTTCACAGCTCCCCCGGTGGCCTGCTTGGCTACGTGGAGGCTTTTGGAGACGGCCGGGCTGACCTGGGCCGGCCTGTCCTCCGGAGTTATGTGTTCTCGGAGTTTAGATGCTCCTTTGTGAATAGCTTTGCCCGTGTACTCGGCACCCTTGACCAGACCCCAGCTTAACCAGGACGCACCTGACGGGATCACACAGGGTTAGACAGTCTGGATGGCTGACCTGCTTTTTATGAGTGATGACTAAAAAACTAAAGCATCGGGATATTCCGATTTAAAGACACACCTGTCAAGATCCCACTTGCCACCTTTTCACTCCATTCGGGCAGAGATTTCTCCTCCTCGGTTGCTGCTGGTGTCTCCTCGAGTGCCGTCTGCTCGGGTGTAACGATGGCCACCTTCTGACTGAGATTAAAGGTGTCGGCAGCTTCATCTGGGGGCTGGCAATACAAACACATAGAGGACAGACAATGTGGGCTGAAAATACAAATGGTTTCTGATCAAATCCTTCCAAAACTTCTCTGTCACTTGTGACCGCTGCACAGATCTCACATCCTCATCTCAGTGTCCTCACAGGGCTACAATGGCTCCTCTCATTCCCTTCTCCTCATGACAATACACTATCCGTTTGTCCCAAACAGACTGCAACTTAAAAAAAATTCTATGCTGTCAGAAAAAATTGAGCCGGTCACTCAAAACATTCTACTTGACCTAAAAATCAAAGCTATCCAAACTTGCTTACTTTCTGACGGGGTGCCACTGCCATCAGAGGAGATACAGATCCTGAACGCGCAGCTAAAACCACCCTGGCCGGCATTATTCTGAACCAGCATCTTTGTCTCCATCAAGGCTCAACTGACACTCGTCTTTCAGCTGAGACTCTGGAGGTCGTTCCAAGTGCTGCAGTTAAGAGCATTACCGATGATTAATTTCTTTTCACCTGCCAGCATCAAATCCCCATAATGCTGAGGCAGGGGTAACGTGGGGAAGAGTGGCAGACCGGAGGCAGATAGCTGCAGGCTTTTCATGCTGGGCAGTTTTTGTCTCTCTTTGTAAGGAGCATCGTCCCCTGAGAGGTGGATTCATTATCATTTTAATTTTCCAAAGCCCCAATATAGATTTGTTTAACTTAAAAGAATTTGAAAAGACGAGAGTGGAATGTCTGAGGAACACTGAGCGGGGATCATCACTGGCCATATTCTTAGTTTGGTTCAGGCATCGTGGATGGAAATGTCACAAATAAAGGATTAGGTGTTAGACATCTGCAGTAAATATTCTGGACTCCAGTCCCTTCAACAGGCTGAGGGAAAATACAAGCAGAGCTGCAAAAGACAAGCAAATGAGTTTGCTTGTAGCTGAACCGTTGTCTGCTAAATGACTTTACCGTGTGTTCTGTTGGAAAATGAATGTGGGCCGCCCTGAACCAGCGCTGCTGCTGCGAATGATGTCATTACACCGAGGGAAAGTCTAAGTGTGGGATAATCCTAAAATGCTACTTTAATGACTGGAAGGGCAATGCGGTTCTCAGAGGGCTCTTCTGGTGACACTCGTGCACAGAATTAGCCAGAATTTCCGAGATGTTCCATCATGTACAGTTGTTGAATTTAGTGAAAATAACATTTACCAAACACAGAAATCTAGAAATATGTGTGTGTATAGGTGTACTTGATCCTGTTGAAGCTGCTGAGCAACATGGTTAAACCAACCTGAATCCTGAGATCTGTCATCTGAGACAACAGGCTCTGAAAAAGGTCTTTTTGTGCTGCAGGAAGCTCAGAGGACAACACAACCCCCACATAATACCCAGGAGTTGGCGCCATCATGTCAGGAAACATAAACACCCCCGTGTTACACAGGAGTACTGGAGAGTTCATGTCCATGAGGGGGTAGAGCCAGTCACACACCTGTCAGGAGGATAAACAGACTTAAACACACACCTGGAAAGTTGAATCAACAAAAAAAAAGAAAATTCAGGGGTGTCAGGGTGATAGAAATCTTATTTTAATGTCTTCTATACAATGATGAGCTAATTTTTAAAACAAGACACAGACGTAGACCCAGAGGGCACAGTCACCCTCTGACTGCTGCATGTCTAACAGGATTACAGAGCACAGCAGTCTAAGCCGGGTTTATGTAATTACTGGAACTCATGTGAATCACTGATGCCACCAATTGGCAACAACACCTGGGAAATTCAGCAAAGCAGAGCTGGATTTCAGTCTCATGACCCACCAGCCTCACCGAGGAGGGCAAAGTACATCAGAATTTGGGACATGTTTAAGAAATGTGATAAGGAGTTGGTTAAAAAAATCAACAACAATTTTATTTGTTTTGCTTACACTGTTTCAGTTTTATGTAAAGGTAATGTAAAGTTCAAAGATCTGACAGCAGTGGATTTGTTGTTGCCTTGAATTCACTTTAATTTCATAAGAGCAAAAATAGCTGGCAAGCTAAATCAAAAGGCTCACATCTTCAAACTTTTGCTTTTAAGGCATCACTGCCAACAACATTGTTGTGACAGCACAATTACAGCGTAACATTTAGTGCTGAGTGGACAGGTAGGTTAGTATAGCTACATTATTCAGAAAAAAATCCTAAAATGAACAACAAATGTTCACTGATTTACAGCATAAAGCATAACCAAATAAAACTGACTATGGATCTATACGTTCTCCCCCTGAGCCACGGTTAATCCTGATCTGGTCCTCTCTGCTGGGTGACATCATAGCCCCTGGGATTAGGGCGCATGATGAGCAACTCTCACATGACTGTCTCTACAGGGTGAGGATATTGATCATTAACAGGGTAATCTCCTCCTACTGTCAAAGAGACATTGATGTGATCACAAACGTCTAACAAAACCAGGTTAAAGTTTGGAAAACAGACAACTATAGGGAGGCCCCTCAGGTGATGACATCTCTGTAGTGCATGTTGCATCAGATGGGCACACGTGGGCCTTATCTTTCTCCATGGCTTCCTACAGGGAAGTGATTTGTGTTAACTACTTTTTAACTTTACCTGAAGAAATGCTGGTGGCCGATTGGAGTCCCTCTCAGTCTGATCGCTGGTGAACTTCACCAGCCGCAGGTAGCCCGGGTACGACGGCGCACTCACTTGCCCCTCAGGTGTCACAAAGAATATCTGAACGCCGTGAGGAATGAACAGGAGCTCCTCCCCGTCCTCCCCCAAACTCTGAGACGCCGTAGAGCTGGATGTGTGGCTGTAGAACTCATCCCCGACCAGTGACATCTCCCCCGAATCTGTCCCGTAGGAGATAGACAGGTGCCCGTCGGCGGCCTGAGGGGAGTAAGCCGGAGGTTTTTCAGCTGGAGCCATCCCTCCCACGGCTCCCACGGGCTGGTTACTGGCAGCCTGTGGCTTTGGTGGAGCTGGTCTTTCGGGCTTCTCTTTGGCAGGCAGGTGTGGGTACAGACCGTGTGCAGAGGTGTGTGCGACAGCGTGGTCAGAGACCGTGCCGGAGCTCTGAGCGGTTTCCCCGTCGGGGTCAGAGCTGGTCTCCAGGATGGCGAGGCGAGTGGTGATGTTGTTCAGGGTCTCCTGCATCTTCTCCTGCATCTGCCGCGCCGACTCCCAGGAGCTGCCGACACACTCGTCCCCACGCGAGGGCACGCTGATGGCCCTGAGGAGGTGCTTCCGGCCTTGCTTGTAAAGGTCCAGGGCTTGCGCCTTGTGTCCGGCTTCATCTGCAGTGAGCCCTTTGTTGAGGCACTCAAAAGCCCTCTGGTATCCATCTTTGATCACTTGAAGTCTCGCATTATCAAATGCCTCCTGTTTAGCTTTCTCCATTTCCCCTGAAACAACACAACACATTAGCTTCACTAATACAACTTTACATCATATTCAAAAGTCCTTCAAATATGGCTAAAGAAGCACGAGAGCACAAAACATCACTTGACCAGCAGTTGTCACACTTGTACAGACTCTTGGGGCTAAAGGTTAGCTAACCCTGACTACAACTCGCCTCCAGAAAAAAACTAAAGCTAAATGTCTGCCGTGGAAAGAACTCCCAACCTCTTCACGGGATAAGTTAGGAACTGATTCTTGTTACGTTAGCTTGGTTATCTGGTCGCCAAAGAGGGCTAAAACAAGCTAATCCTGATTGTTGAACACAAGTCAACAACAGCCAAGTTCTCTACACAGACGGGGATACCTATTTTCCTTTTTACCAGCATAAGTAACCAACACTAACAATGCTAATACGTTTTAAAATGAGCCTTTGTTTAGCTTTTTATGATAGAAAATTGTAAGTTAGCACTAGCTTCCTTACTGCTATCGGTTTCAAGTCTTACCTCGGAGAGGAAAACACTCAGAATAACAGCTTAACTCGTGGTTAGCTGTTCTTCCAGACACCGAATTAACGTTGAATTCAACCCCAGAACACCGGCGTCCAAAATCAAATAGCTTCCCTGTGACACGACTCCCAGATCAGGTGATGGGAAAGCTCTGACTGTGGACCTGTCAAAGTAAAAAGGGCAGAGACAGGAAGGATCGATGAGGTCACCGCAGCAGTACTTCAGTCTCAAGCGCGTCTTTACCTTAATTTTGAAAGGACACAGGAAGCACTGATGTACCACCACTTCCCGGCTTGATCACTGCTGCAGTTGGGCAGGATGTCCACCAGAAGGCGGTAGAGAGCGGTGTTTAATCCCCATCTGCTGAATGAGCGATGCTGAACGAGGCGAGTTTTGGTGCCTTCTTCCATCACATAAAACTGCACTGGGGCTTCCCAGCAAGCTCTCTGTGTGTGCTTAAAACAAAGACTTAACTATATATTTCAACATATGTAATTAATAATATTATGGATAAAATAAGGTATCATAATTGTACAGCAACAGAAAAGCACTTGAAAGCATTACGAAAACAAATGTATTCAAATGTGTTAAATGGTTTACTCCAGAACAAAATTATATTCTAAAAATATCTTTATTTGTCACCATAAGCTTTTATATATACTGTTCTTGCTTCAGATAGGAACCATTTCAAGGATCGCTCAAAGATGATCACACTGTTTCTGCACAATGTTACAGTCAATAGGAATATGAAATCTAATTTTTTGTAAAGTGCTTTTATGCACTCCTGAAACCAAGAGCAATGGGAATAGTTTGATACGAATTATTATGCGACAAAATATTACAATGCTTTAATTACGTTTATATAATCAATATGGTTCTAATCTTAATTTGTTTCTTATATTGTTTATAGTGCCTTTAAAAAGACAAATATTTCGGTACAATACTCACAGACATTACTAAAACCTTTATTGGATGATTTTGCTGACACGTGCACAGCTGCTGGGAGAGTTCACTGGGGAAGCCTCAACCCAGGGCTGATTAATAGTCAGGATATGGTCACTTGGTTGGGAGCTTTTCCTATTTATTGGCCACCCACAGTTGTTGTAGAGTAAACAATGTGCTCACCAGGACATGTGTTTAAACCAGGCCCCTACAAGCTGAAAATGCGGTATAATTGTTTAATGCTGTGCAATTTCTGGAAGCAGACAGAAACTTTGAGTCACATCCGTGATCACAGAGAAAAGTTCAACTTAATAGTGGAATTAAATTCTGTCCAGTGTAGAGTTATAAGTTAAAAAGTTCAAGTTACAGCTCATGTAATCTAAAAAGTTTGCAATTTGATGATTATACAAAGTTAACATGGTATGGACAGCATACTAGGCTGTGATCTGCAGAGGGCACCAAATCCTGTTTAAAAAGGAGACATTGAGTGAGACGTGGAACAGCTTGGAATTAAAGTTAATCAAAACCTTTTACATTCTTCATCATAAGATTACCTTTGCCAAAGTGTAGAAACAATTTGGCTGGATGAGTACTATAAATGTCCCACTGTTGGCCATTAAATTGCCTATTTTTAAACACATGGTCATCAGACAGAACACTGGCTGTAAGCATTAGAAGCCAGTTGTGCAAATCACTATGTATGATTAACAACAGTGCTTTAGAAACCCATGTTTTATATTTTCTGATTCTTCTGGGCTGGTTACCGTGAGCCTGAAGACAAGCATATGATAAGCATCAGTGTCATTTAGTCTCCAGTTTGACAGATTCCCAACATTCATCATGTACAGATACCACAGTACTGGGACCAGACTGGACATGCTCTTCACACATATGGAGTTAATATAGGAAGGCTTCAGTTCACTTCCATACTCTGTTTAACTGTTTCACTCCCTTTATATCAATTACAAAACATTTGAACAAAAAGTCCTACAGAAATAGCTGTATAGACTATTGCATAGCATTCACCCCCTGCACTTCACCACTTTGATTAAATTAGTAAAATGATTTTAGTGTCTTCTGTTTCCATTTTTGAGGAATAAGCAAACAACAAAGCATTGTTTTGAATATCAAAATGTAATTAATTATCAGTTGCATGTGTTACACTCCTTTGACATTGACTCATGGTTTGGTCACAGCAGTAGATTTCTTTTTCAAGAGAAAAAACTAGAAAAAAGAAATAAATTATTAGAACAATGATTCTAAGTAATCTAGCTGGTGTGAGTAAAGAAGGAGAGATCCTTTGAACTCTGAATCTGTTTTTATATAGTTTATCTACTGTTCTTCACAAACAGTTGCCCCATAAAAAGGCACACTAACATTTAATTTAACCTCGGGCAGGTTGTTTGCATTCTTTTACTAAGCAGATGTGAATGTTTTTAGATTTGTGCTACTGAAAGGATTGACAGCACAAGAATAAATGAGGATGGGAAACACGGCCAACATTCAAAATACAAGCAGATGGCAAATTGCTGAGACTTAATTCTTCAAGAATTTTCATTGAACTTTTTATATAGTTTGTATTTTTCTTTCCCCCCTAAATTCTTAATGTGTAAAGGATAGATAAAGACATCATTACAACTTGTAATGTGGACCATTTGCTTCTGAAACGTTTTGCATAATGCAGATATGAGACTGTAATGAAGGTACAGCTCTTCGGACTTTTACAGACTTCTTCATGGGCTCTTTCCACACAGCGGCTGTTAGCTTTTATATTGTTCATTTGGTATCTGAAAAAGAGTTCATAAAACTATTTTGCTTTAGCCTCCATTGGCCTCACCTTGCATGCTCTTGCCCGTGGTCCATAGTTTAATCACTGCATAGCTCAAACCCAGCATTACTTTTAATGATGACTCAGTTATTTCTCATTCTTGTTTGTGCTTGCTTTTGCTTTTCTGTCTCTTGTATAAAGGTCGATTTCTATCAGCTATGGCATGTGCTAATATTTCATTATTGTCTTTTAAGTAAGATTCTGTTTTCATTCTCACTTTCTATGCCCCCGATACATGATAGTTGTTTCGGGACCACTTGTGCAAAGTATGACAATGTTAGAGTTTGTATTTATGGAAACAATTACATGTAAAAGGGATTTATGATCACGTTAGCCAGTGAAAAGGTTTTATGTTTGAGTTTTCTTTGAAACTAGAGTAGGGTGCATGTTAAACTTTAAGATTGCAGCTCGAGCTATCGTCAGTGAAAATAACACCAGCTTGTGTGCTTAAATCAAAAGCTTTCATCTCATTTTATCATCTTTAAAGCACACCATGGGTAGCTCAGATATCATAAATTGTGGCTGAGATCTGTGAGATCTGCTGCCTCTTAAGGTGTTTGGATACAACTGATCAACTAAAAGTTCACGCAAGGAGTCTGTAGGACATATCTGGTTACGGTGCACAATCCTTTATCCTTAAATCCTTTTAAGAAATACAGACGGTCTGTAAGGGATTCTTTTTCACAGACATTACATTAACTAGACATTTGCAATATTTAGAGGTATTGATCTCTCAAGTAATATACATTATAACTTGTTACATATCGTGTAAATGCTTCCGGTTCAGAAACAGATGCACAACATAAATATAGCTGACTGTTAATGGAATTGGTAAGATCATGATCACATGCAGATCCAGGTGGTAAAGATGCAAACTGGACATTTTGGGGGGACAATGAAAAATACATGATATTAATTAATTACTTATCTGTTAATGCAAACATCCTCTTTACTGCGAGGAGCAGTTTCTGACTGGCTAATTTCAAGTTTACCCCTCGTGAACCCTCATGAATTAATGCAGTTCCTACCACACATCATATTTTCCACACAACTCTCCACTGAGGCTCATCTTGTGGAAATTTTTGTGCTTAAAACCCACTGGCTTCAGTAAGCCACACAACCAAACACATGTTTTAGCTTTAAGAGAGGTCTGGTTCTATAAGGACAGCGGTCAAATTAATCTTAATAAAGATAAAACAATAATAAAAACAAGTTCACTACAGACATCCTCGATGGTAGACAGATTACACGATATGACCATTTTTGTAATAAACAAAAATGTTCCAGAAAAGCAAAGAGTGTAGGTCTCGGACTCACAAGTGATTGTTCAGACATATCAGGAAGTGGTTTATCCTCAAAGTGGCCATGGGCACATTCAATTTGACAACAATGAAACGTTTGGCAACAAAACCACCAGTCCATATCCTATTCTCTCTCTCTTTCTTTGACACAAACACTCATCATTCTCTATTCATACCTTCAGGAATTTGAATTAAGTTGGGTAAAAACTGAAAATGGATCAAAGGTTCTGATTCTTCAGGAAGCTGCAGAGTCTGGAGCTTTTCCTCCCAAAGCATGGCCAATCTCTGATATCTTTAGTTTAAAGTGCGCTAAATGCAAAACCAACCAATCTCATGAAAAAATCCCACTTAACAACACTTTTTATGATCATATGCAACTTGAAAATAAACCTTTAAGTCCACACTACCCTGAAATAACTAATTTCAGAAGTTTGGGATATAAATCATTCATGTTTGGACTTTATCTGAGGTCTAAGCAATCCAGCAGGTCTACACGTACACAGTGCCTTGTCTCAGGAGAAATGACAGAGAAAACTGAAGTAATTTGAGCAAAACATATTTAAGTTACTCATAAACTCTGTTATTTTCTAGCTTGAACATAAATCAGGGTCCCTTTGTAAACTACCTGAACAGATGTTGTGATTCTGTTTGTATTTCCTGTCACTGTATCCATAGATTTAAAAAAAAAAGCAAAACTGGGTGTGCTTTGACTGGTAAATTGTAGTCATGGGGTTAAAAAAATCTTACACTGAAGCACATTTTTCCAAAACATAATTGCAGCTTTGTTATTTTCTGTATATAAAAACTGTCTTCTTTCAATTACAGATTTCATGATCATGCCTTTTTTCTTTTGGCAGAACTTTACCAACAGGTTTCTTAATGACTTTGCTGCTGGCTATGAACCACGTCTAAGTTTGGCATACCCCACTTACACCAAAAGGTTATATGAAACCATATTAATTCATATTCTAATAAGCAGTGTACTGCATACTTCACAGGCTAAATTAATGAGAATGATTAACTAGAAGCCACATATGGATCGCGTGTGTAAACCTGAGGTTACTGCCCATATTTGAAGAACATTAGCAGATGAGCCACGCTAATGTCAAAGCCAGCAATGGAAGATCCACAAACATATGCAGACATCAGTGCTGCACTTTCCCAAGACAGTAAAATATCCCTGGCAGGAAAGTGTAGGAGGAAGGCCAAACATATTGGGTCTGCTGTATCAACATCAGGACAGCCAACAACCCATCTAAGAGACAGAAATGAAAAACATATTAACAGTTTACTAGAATTTGACTTCTTAACTTTATATCAAAGCTATTTAGTAATCAAT